AAAAAAAACACGATGCAAAGGATGAGCAGAGGAGAAAGGAAGGGTGAGAGCAAAGAGTTCCGCTAAGATGTGTGAGTGTGTCTACGAAATAGGGTGGTTTCTGAAGCCCCCTCCGCCTCCCCCTCCCCCACCGCCCCCCGCCTTCCCCCGCATTGTTGCTCTAGATGTCAACCCTACGTGTGACCTTGACAGAATGTACCTGGACAGGAACACCGTCTTGGTACAGATCATGCTCCTGGCAATTTCCACACCACAGGTATGTTCTCACAAAAGCCACCTGGTTCAGCCCTTTCCAAATTTCAATTTTTTTTTGCCAGCATTACCAAATATTGTTTTTCTTGTTTTTTTTTCCGGGCATTTTCAAGGTTGCCCGGGGCCAAGTACCACTACGGTGGCAGCGCTGAGTTTCCTCAACGCCCGAATCTGGACGTGTTTGTGGAGAGGTGCAACGCGATTTTCTGCACATCTCCACAAACACGTGCAGATTCGGGCGTTGAGGAAACTCAACGCTGGTAGTGGGACTTATCCCCCGGGCAATTCGATCCTTTTCAGGTCCTTTCAGCGCTTATCTGCCTGGCGGGGGGAAGCGGGGGGGAAGGCGGGGGGAAGGTGGGGGGAAAGGCGGGGGGAAAGGCGAGGGGAAAACGCGAGGAGAAGGTGAGGGGGAAGACCAGGGGAAGGCGAGGGGAAGCCGGGGGAAGGCGGCGGGAAGGCGGGGGAAGGGCACATTCATGCCCCTCAATTGATTGATTTGAATATTGGAACCCGAACCTAAACCTAAACCCCCAATAAATATATAAAAAAAAGGCTACCGCACACAGGCATGCCGCCTGTTTGGCACACAAACCTAAACCCTCGGAAAAAAAAAAAAGAAAAAAAAAGAGGAGGATAGGAACTGTTAATCCTACCTAATGGAGAGTCCAGAATGTAAGGGAACCCCCTTATACGGAAGAAAAAAAACAAAAGGGAAAAAAAAGGAAAAAAGGAAAAAAGGAGGGGCGGGAAAGGAAACTCGATCGGAAAACGGAGGTATGATGGAAAAAAGAGGAAGCAATCATTGCCGTCAGATAGTAATTAATACTCATTATTATAAATATTTTAAAATAAATAAATAATTCAAAATAAACGAATAAAAGTTGCCCATTTTCTCTAGTTGGACGAACTCGGTATTGGAATCAATTTAGGGTTTAGGGCCGGTTTCACACTGGAAACAGCCATTTAACCCTTTTTTTTTCCATTTCTTGCGGTTTTATTTTGCCTGTCTTACTTCGCCCTTTTTTTTCTTCCTTTGCTTCATTTTTGCAATGCTTTTCTTTCTGACTTTCTTTTCTTTTAATCGTTCTTCTTTTTTTTTTTGGTTCTTCCTTTCGTTTTTCGTTCTTCCTTTTTTTTCGTTCCTTTTTTTCATTTTTCTATGCTCGGGTATTTTTATTTTTTTCTTTATTTTTCCCTATTCTACTTTTCTTTTTTTTTCTTTTTCCCAAAGTTTTTTTCTCCTTTTTCACTGGGGAGAGCAACGCTTCTTCTCGTCCCCCCTCCCGGCTTCTTTTTTCTTTTTTTTTTCTGCGCAAGGTCCCACTACTAGCAAAGAGGATTGGATTAAGCGCATGAATCTGGACGCTCTTTACGTAGAGATGCAGAAATGCAGATCCATCGCGATTTTCTGTACCTCTGGACAAACACGTCCAGATTCAGGCATTTCATCCGATACTCTTTGCTAGGTATTGGGACCTCGCCCCTGGGCCCTGGGGCAAGCTCTCATTTGTACGGAGTATGGAGTCCTGGCCGTATGATTAAGGAAGAAAGGAAGAAAAAGCACGGAGGACTGGACGACAGTTACTCCGGGCAAGGAAGAAAGGAAGAAAAAGCCGTATGATTAAGGAAGAAAGGAAGAAAAAGCCGTATGATTAAGGAAGAAAGGAAGAAAAAGCCGTACTCAGGTTATGTACCGCCTGACTTGCCCTTTTTTTTTTTTTTTTTTTTTCAAACGATGCTCCAATCTATTTAAGGGGCGGAGCTGCACATGTTGGCAGACAGGCCCAACGTCCCAAATGGAGTGATCTCGAGACCGTGGGTCCCCTCACGCCCGCTCACACAAGGCCCAGATCTTCGTTTTTGTTTTTTTTCCACTCCATTTTCTTTTTTTTCCCCCCCTAGTTGTTGTTGTTCATCCATTATAAAGCTGAAAGAGATGAGACATTTCGTTAATTTTCAACCAAAAAAAAAAAATCCATGTTCATCCATGAAAATTGGGACGATACAGAGAAAGAGAAGATTGATGGAAAGAGAAGTAATGCTAATGCTCTCGATTGTGAGGTCCCCGGCCTCAAATATATTTTATTAGGGATAACTTGGGCGCAGTCACGAAAACAGTTTGTAATTGCACTTCAGGCCATCCCGCGAATACAACACCCCTCCACGCGACCCACCGGACCCAAAACGTAGGTCATATACATCCAGCATTACGGGCCCTTTTGCCTCAAGTGCAATTACAAACTCAAACCCTGACTGCGCCGTAGTTTTCTCATTTTATTAATATACAAAACGTGAATTAAAAAAAAAAAAAAAAAAAGAATGAAGATTGATTAGCACATGGCCCACGCGCGCAAGGATGACACGCATAAACCGAGAAATGGTCCAAACTAAAAATTAAAAAAATAATAATAATAATAATAATATAATGACAATAAAAATCCATGTTCACACCATACGCATATGCAAACGATGACCTGAAAAATAAAAATAAAAAACAGCCGCGCAAATTTCTTTCCTAAAAATGCTCTCTTTTTTAGGTCTTCCGGGCATGAAGTTCCCCGTACCTCAGATTCTTTGTATCTGGCCGTTTTGTTTTTTTTCCTTCTAAACACGGCTTTTTTTCTTTTTTTTTTTGTTTTATTCCTTTTTTTCTTTTGGCAGAATGGAATGAGTGCGTTCTGAGTTCTGGAAGAGAGGTCCCGCTAGCGAAGAGGATTGCATTAAGCGCCTGAATCTGGACGTTCTTTATGCAGAGATGCAGAAACGCAAGATCAATCGCGATTTTCTGTACCTCTCCACAAACACGTCCAGATTCAGACATTTAATCCAATCCGCTTTGCTAGAGGGACCTTGCCCCTGGTGAACACGAAGATTGTCATCTTGCTTATTCAAAATTGACGTTGCTTCCTTTTTTTTTTTCCCCTTGGCTGCTTTTTTTCCTTTTCTTTTTTTTTTAATGAGGTTGTCGTGTTCAACAGTGGCTATTTCTTCTCATAATGCGCACTCTCTTTTTTTTTTTCTTCTTTGTTTTTTGGCAGAATGAAATGAATCGGGTTTTTTTCAACAATGGCTATAAGTCGACATGTAGCCCCTGCTTGTACTACCATGGGTACTACCGGTAGAGCCCGTTTCAAATGAATCGTTTTTTTTTTTTTTTTTTTACTTTTTTCCCATTATTTAAAAAAAAAAGAAAGGAAGAGCCGTCAACACCTGCCGTTGGATTGAAAACACACACACACACACACACACACACACACACACACACACACACACACACTGTCACACACACACACTGTCACACACACACACTGTCAGACACTGTCATACACTGCCACACACTGTCACACACTGCCACACACTGTCACACNTCACACACTGCCACACACTGTCACACACTGCCACACACTGTCACACACACACACACACACACACACACACACTGTCAGACACTGTCACACACACACACACACTGTCAGACACTGTCACACACACACACACACACACACTGTCAGACAATGTCACACACACACACACACACGCACACACTGTCACAAACACACACACACACACACACACCCCTGCCGTTGGATCGATCCTGATCCAATGAATTACCAGAAAAGAGGCCTTTTTCACTTTTTAAAAGTTTTTTTTGGTTCAAGTTTTTTTTTGCTTTCACAGGATTTTTATTTTTTTTTGTCTCCAGTGCTTCTTTCCACTCGCACAACGCCACACTGCTCAAATTTCTTTACTACGTATTTGAGCTTCGCCTTCTGACCACCCCATTTTGCAAGAACGGAAAAAAAAAGCAAGAAAATGCCACGTCTGAGGCTTAGGCGATTCAGAAAACAAAAGCCAAAAAAAAAAAGAAAAAGTCAGACTCATGTACCTGGCCATGGACCTGCTCCCATAACGAGACGTCATCATCATCATGTGCTGCTGCTGCAGGTTTCTGTCCGACCGCCACGTCAGCATTCCCCCCCCGACCCTCATCGTCATCGTGTGATTAATCAATCTGCTGCATGAAGACCCGAGCGTGTGCCTCCCCTCCCTCGACGGCAAGACTCCCCACTCTGCCGACCCTGATTTGCGACCTGCGCCGATCGAGGTCCCAATGTTGCGATCCCGATTGCTCCGATCCCTGGCCATTGATCGCCAGTCCCGATCTCTATCCGACAATGACAATAATGACGACAAAGAAGAGGAGGAGGAGGTGGAGGAGGAGGAGGACGAGGAGGGGGCGCGCTCTTCAATGATGATGTCATGTTCAGGCGCCGCGATACCTGCCGAGACGTCTGGTCTGGACAGATGACGTGGCAGACGGGACAGCGGTGAACATGACAACGCCACGTGGCGGCCTTTGAAGAGTAGCCCTTGCAGCCCTTTCTGTCGCCGAAGGAGCAATCTGCTCACGAGCGACATTTCGTTGTCTGCTATCTGCTGGGATCTTTGCTCAGATCCCACACACACCCACCAACCACCTTCTTCCTCTCCTTTCCCTTTTCTCTTCTTTTTTTATCTTTCTTTCTTCCCTCCACTTCCTCATCCTTTCTCCTTTGACAGCACCCCACCCTACCCCGCTCCCCTTTCTCCCCTCCCTACATAGCACCCCCCTGCCCTTGCCAACCCCCTTCCCAACCCCCTCCTCGTTGTCAATTTACACCCCCTTCATAGCTATGGTGAAACCATGAATCAGGTCGCACTCAGGCTATACGCACACCAGGGCTTTTTCGACTGATCTCTGTACCTGGACGTAATTGCAGTCGGATTCATCCACGTCTGGCCGTAACTGCGGCCAGATACGTCCAGCGAGAAAGTGCTAACGGTGGTGTGACTGTCCTCTCACCAGTAGATGCCATTACGATAGTGCCAAGGTGAGTACGCCCTTATTCGGCTATCTGCCCTTCACGTTTTTTTGGCTATTGGCCATTTTTAGGGCATACTCACACAGCGGTCACAAAGCAGCAAAATCTGAGAAATTTGCAATGCCGCTTTTGGTGAAGTACTTACCCCGCCGGGGGCAAGGTCCCACTTGCACGGTGATTAAGAGATTCTGGCCGTTGATCTGTGGTATCTACGGTCAATATCTCTTAATTCGTGTAAGTGGGACCTAGCGCACGAATCAAGAGATACTGACCGTAGATAGCAAAGATCAACGGCCGCAATCTCCTAATTTGCGCAAGTGGGACCTTGCCCCCGGTCACACATTGGGACCAAAACAAAAAGGACACGAGTGGGAAGCGAATAGCGGGTCTCGCGTAACGCTCCCGCGAGATCCCGCTTTCCGCTGTTGGGAAACACGGTGGGACCGGTAGGCGGGCCCGACAAACAAAGCATGAGGCGTTCGGGCCGGGCCGGACCGGTGAGGCGCGGGTTGGACGGAGGCCGCTGTTTGTTCGGACTTGGTCGTCTTTTCGCGTCTTGGGGCTGCGTTTTCGGAATCAGGGGAGGGCCGACAGCCCGATAGAACTTTCGGGAATCTGACGGCCGGATTCCCGAGAACTCTATCGGGCCGCTCATTTGCTTCGTCCCTCGGGTTGGCGGCCCGCTCATTCGGTTCGGCCCCCTCGGCGCTTCGCTCGCTCACAATCGACGTTCGCTTCGCTCGCGAGACACAGAGAGAGAGAGAGAGAGAGAGAGAGAGGGGGTGGGGGGGG